TTGAGGTTGGCAAAGATCTCTGAGGTCATGCAGCCCAACCATCCAACCACCGCCAGTTCTGCCTACTGAGCCACATCCCCAGGCAGCACAGGGATGGTCAGCCACCCCATCACAGCGCCAGGCACTCCTGCAGAGAAGCTTTTCCTAACACCCAACCTGAAAGCCTCCACCAGCCGCATTCAGGCGACCAAAGAAACAGCAGCAATCTTCAGGCAGCTGGTCCCACCTTCAGAAAAGGCAGCAGCTTTGCCAAGGGATCAATCACTCGATTGGAAACGATTCCCTCAGCCAGCGGCAGGGCTCAATACCCGGATTTCAACGACTACCCTATGACACTACCTACCCTGTGACATTAACTACCTACCCTACGACATAACTACCCTACGACACGAACTGGAAGAGGTCTCCAGCCGCCCCGCTGTCACAGCCGCCAGCGCAGCCCCGCCCCGCCCCAGGCCCACCAAGGAGGCCCGGCCCGGTCGTCCAGCACTCACTGTACTGCGCGATGCGCTGCACGTTGCCGCTGCATGTCTGAATGATAGCACCGAAATCCCGCGGCGGGGCCGTCGGCCCGGCCCGATAGGGATCCAGCGGTCCGTACGACATGACCGGCCGAATGACGGCTGCTCCCCGCCCGGCTGCCAGCACCCCGCCGCTCACCGCGCATGCGCGACCGCTGCTGACCGAGCGCCCGCCCTAAGCCGCCGGGACGCTGCCTGCGCATGCGTGGTCGCGGCCGGGCGCGGCCTCCGGTTGCCATGGTGACGGGAGCATCTCGGACAGGCGTGAAGCTGCGCCACAGGCCCTGAACGTGGAGTTGGCTGTGCTTTGACACTGGCACACGGCTCAGCACCACCATGCCGCTCCCAAGGAGGTTGTGGATGCCCCATCCCTCAGCATACACCCCAGGGCCCAGATCCATCCCCTGGGAGAGTCCTCATGGCCCTTGGGGGCTCCCAGGGAATCAGACACCACCATGCAGGCACCCTGCCCTGTTGGCACAAGTTAAAAGGGAGCAGAGCAACTGCAGGCACCAGGATGGGAGCAGCCAGGGCCTCAGGTACCTGAGTGGGAAGGGGAAAGGGAGGATGGGAGCGTAGAGAGGAGAGGCACCAGGTTGTGGGTACCAAGAACAAGGTCTGGTACAGGCACCGGTGTGAGGCTGTGAAGAGAGCTGTGAGTGTGCCAGGGCAGTGGGTGTGCTTCTGCAGAACGTGTGCTAGTACTGCAGGTCTGAGGTGCCAGGGAATGGGAACCCCAGCTCTTCCAGGTAGCAAGAGAATAAATATAACATTTAAGAGCAGGGGCCACAAAGATGATCAGGGGACTGGAGCACCTCCCCTGTGAGGACAGGCTGAAGGAGTTGGGCTTGTTCATCCTGGAGAAAAGAAGGCTGCGGGGTGACCTCATTGCAGCCTTCCAGTACCTAAAGGGAGCCTACAAAGAGGAGGGGAATCAACTCTTTGAAAGGGTGAGTGACAGCAGGACAAGGGAAAATGGTTTTAAGTTGAGGGAAGGGAGATTTAGGTTGGACATCAGGGGGAAATTCTTTACAGAGAGAGTGGTGAGGTACTGGAACAGCTGCCCAGGGAGGTTGTGGATGCCCCATCCCTGGAGGTGTTCAGGGCCAGATTGGATGGAGCCCTGGGCAGCCTGGTCTAGCATTAGGTGGGATGGTTGGTGGCCCTGCATGTGGCAAAGGGGTTGGAGATTCATGATCCTTGAGGTCCCTTCCAACCCTGGCAATTCTGTGATTCTGTGATCCCTGAAGGCATTCAAGGCCGGGCTGGATGTGGCTCCGGGCAGCCTGGTCTGATGGTCAGTGACCCTGCACACAGCAGGGGGTTGGAACTGCGTACACACATCAGTCACTGTGGTCCTTTGCAACCCAGGCCATTCTATGGTTCTGATTCTGATTCTCGCTCCTCTTCTCAGCAGGAGCAGAGGGAGAAAATGACATGGAACAACTCTTAGGTTGAGATAGGATGGGGAGATCACTCACCGGTTACTGTCACAAGCAAAACAGACTCAGTGTAGGGAAGTTAATGTGATTTACTGCCTACTGCTAGCAGACCAGAGCAGTGAGAACTAAAAGCAACACATACCTCCCTCCCATCCATGTTCTACCTCCTCCTCAGCCAGCAGCACAGCACAATGGGGGCTGTGCTCAGCCCACATCACCCCATCTCTGCTGCTCCTTCCTCCTTACCATGTCCCTGCCCCAGCACAGAGTCCTTCCCACACGATGCTGTCCTTCCCAAACTTCCCAAGCTGTGTGAGCTTCCCACAGGCTGCATGCAGATCAAGCCCTGCTCTAACACAGCTCTGTATCACATGGCCCATTTTTCAGGGGCTGCTCCAGCATGAGGCCTATTGGCGGCAGCTCTGCAGCCCTCCTGCAGCCTCCACCCTGGAGCCTGATCCTGTGGGATCTCTTTGCACTGCTGCAGTGTGGGCTCCTCCATGGCTGCACATGGAGATCTGCTCCGCATGGTGCCACTGGGTTGCAGCGGGACAGTTTAGAATTAAGCTTTATCCTTAATCTTTTCATTATTGTTATGCAGTGAAAGACAATTATAAGTAATCTTTCACAGAATCAAAGGGTGCTTGAGGTCAGTTAGAACGGATGTCTGGGTCCCTCTGGTCCAACCCCTGCTCAAGCAGAGACACTGGATCTGCTTGTCCAGGACCACATCCAGGTGGCTTTTAAAGATCTCCAAGAAGGAGGGTTCACATCTTTTCAGACAGCCAGTTCCAGGGCAGAAATACACAATAAAAAAATGACATCCTCATGTTCAGACAGGAACCTCCTGTGTGCCAGTTTGTGCCCCTTGCCTCTTGTCCTGGCACTGGGCACCACAAAAAAGAACCTGGCTCCATCGTCTTCACCTTCCCTCCAGGCATTTATGGTCATAAATAAGATCTCCCTGCTCCTCCACTACTTCAGGCTGAGCAGCCCCAGCTCTCTCAGCCTCTCCTCATGACAGTGCCCACATAAAATGTCCCAAAACACATTAAAAAGGACAGATGTTTAGAGAGGAGACATTGCTTGGAGGAGACTGTATGGAGCATAAGGAGAGTAATCCCCACAAATCAAGCTCACCAAGTCTTCACACTGGTTTCTCTTTATAGTCATAAGTTTTCAGTATACACCTACCTATTATATATTCATAAAATTATCCAAGTACACGATTACATATTTTAATCTTCTGTATTTGAGCAACAGCCTTTGGTGACTGTTTGGAGAGGTGTCCTGTTACTCACCTTGTCCATATTTGGGCACAGGATTTTTTAAGGACACCTAATCAGTCTCTTCTGATTGGTTTCTGTCCTGAATCTGTGCTTTTTCCCCAGCTTTACTGTAACCAGATGTTCTGCTGGGGATTCTTTGGAGGCCACCCCCAGTTCCCACCAGTCAGAATCTAAATTCACAGCTAGCAGATCTGTAACGTGAATTTTCTCCTTCCCGTGGACCCCCCCTTGGTTTCTGGTTTAATGAATCTCTTTTTCAGTGTCCATGACTCCAGCACCCTGCATGCTGACCCTTCCTCGGTGATGAAACAGCTGAAATTGGCTCAAATTGTCCTTTCCTATTATCCCTGCCTGAAAAATGACTCATCGCTGTCCTTCTGTCATTATATCCTCACCCCAGGGTGAGATTGGTACACCCACTTTTGGGACAAGGGTGAATTCTCATACTGCCCACATGAAGCTGGAAAGAAGAGCATGAATGCACAGTCCCTGCAAGGAACCATGGAGCCCACAGCATCCCCCATGGAGCACAGTGAGCCCTGAATTCTGCGTCCCCCAAATCCTGCATCCTCCCCTTATCTATCCTCTCCTACAGTGCCCAGCTGCACCCCTGAATCTTGTACCCCCTGATTCCTGTCCCACACTTTCACCCCAAATCCACAGTTCTGTATCCTGCCCCCAAATTCAACATCTCCCAAATCCCATATCTTCACTCTAAATTCCCTATCACCCCATCAAGTCTGCATTCCCTCTAAATACAAGATCCCCCAAATCTCATTTTGCTCAAATCCCAGTTTCACCCCAAATCCAGCATTTCCTCTAATCCCCTCTTTCACCTCAGATCCCACAGCTTCAACTCAAGTCCTGTGTTACTCTAAATCCTACAGCTTTACCGTAAGTCGTGCATTACCCAAACCCCATAGCTTTGCCCCAAGTCTCACGTTGGCCAAATCCTTCAGTTTTATCCCAGATCTCCCAGTTTCATCCCAAATCCTGCAAGGCCCAAATCCCACAGCTTCACCTCAAATACTTGGTTGCCCAAAACCTAGCTTTGCTTTGAATCTTCCAGTTTGCCCCAAGTCCCCTGTCACCCCAAATCCCTGTTTCATCCCAAATCCCCCAACTTTGCCTCAAGTCCCTCTTTGCCAGAAATCTCCCAGTTTCAACACAATTCCCCCAGTTCCATTCCAGTCCCTGCAGGATACTGCAGCTGTTCCTGCCTGGCTGGTCCATGATGCCCAGGCTCTCCAGACTGGAGAGCAGCAATGCCAGCATGAAGATCCAGGCATCATTGTGGCTGTTGCCCTGCACCCACAGCTCTGTTTTTGGGGGCCAGCCGTCAGAAATCCACAGAATGCATAGGGAGCCCTGGTTGAGGCTGACCAGGTATTTCATCATTTGCCACTGTGATAGGACTCCTGATGGCCACCATCAGTGGGGGCTGGAGCACCTCCTGCAGTGCCATGGGGTTGAGGGACAGGGCCCTGACTGTTGCCCAGCCAGCCCCCAAGCAGCAGCAGCCCACCTGACAAACTCCCCTCACTTTTTCAAGCTGTCCTTCTGTATGATGTCCTATGGTATGGAATATCCCTTTGGCTAGCTTAGGTCCATGGGTGGAAAGTGTTCTCCCTTATTTCCTTTGTAGCCCGGTGCCAGAAGGAGACAGAGCAAAGTGTAATTACTCATAGCATCCAAGATACAGGTCCTAAAGTACAAAGATCCCTACAGTGTTGAGCACAAACACCAGATAAGTTCCCAATCAGCAGTTTTATCATACTGTAAGCCAAGATCACAAAGCACAGCAAAATGACAACTTCAACTCCTAGAGACAGACACGTAAATAGCAAGTAAAGTGTTAAGTGATATTGTTCCAAGAAAACACTGAAATATCTGTGCAAAAAAAGTATCATAATAATTAGCAATTATCAAGTTTGTATCATATGGTATGGAATATTCCTTTGGCCAGTTCAGGTTAGGTATCTCAGTTCTGTCCCCTCCCAACTCCTTGCATCCCCCACAGCCCTCCTCACTGGCAGGGCAGTAGGAGAAACTGAGAAACTGAAATGTCCTTGGCTCTGTATAGCACTGCTCAGCAACAACTAAAACATCAGTTCATTATCAATATTGTTTTTCTCCCAAACATATCATACCAAACACAATGAAGGAAAATTCAGCGCCATCACAGCTGAAGCCAGGACACAGGGACAGGTGGCTGGGCTACAGCTTGCGCTGTATCATGTTGCCTACAATGCTCACTGCCTTGCCGACCACGCCAGGCAGGAAGAGTGAAGCCACGTTGGCCAGGAGGCCCACAGTTGAGATGATCCATGCGTGGTTTTCAGTCCTCTTCTTCTCCTCCTGCAACTGCTTAATCTGCAGCTCCATTTTCTCTGCTTCATGCTTGTAACCCTCCTCCATCAGTGTCCAATGTTCCTGTGGGACACAGAGTGCTATTAGTACTCTGCACAATGCCACAGTACAGCCACAACGTGCTAGTACCATTGCACAACACCATCATCCCTGGTACAGCCACAACATGCTGGTTCCACCACACAACACTATCAGAGCGCTCACCTTCAGGCGGTGCTCCAGCAAGCGGTTTTGCTCCTTCAGCCGCAGGCGCTGCTCTTCCAGCAGTTGCTGCTCCAGCTGCCTGCAGTGCTCCTCCAAGCTGCATTGCTGCTCCTTCAGGCACGCTGCCTCTGCCTCCCTGGCTGCTGCCTCCTTGGCTGCTGCTGCCTCCCGCTGCCGCTCCATCATCACCAGGCGTGCATCGATTGCATGCAGTGCCTGTGCCAGCGGCTCACGCTCCCGTAGGAACACCTCCAGCACTGCATCTGCCTGATGGTACAGCTATGAGGCACCGCCTGCACCACCACACCAGGCTCCATCACACCCCACTCACCTTAACACCCTTTTCAGGCCACCACTGGTAGTCTTCCAGCACACGGCACAGATCATCCTGGAACAGCTGTGCACCACCTGGTGCTGCGTAGTCCCCACACTGCAGACGGTGCTCCACGTCCTGCCACAGCTCCCGCAGCACCGCCTGGCAACGCTGCTCTGATGCCTCCTCATTGCGCCGGCAGAACTCCTCCTTGGCTGCCTCCAGCTCTCGCTGCACCACAAAACAGGTCTGAATCAAACAGAAATCGCCCCCAGAACCTCCCGGCATGACAGTGACTCACCATCAGCTGACACTGGTAGGTGCGCTCGTTGTCAGCAAAGGCACGGGACAGGAAGAGGGTGACAGCATGGCGCTCCCAGCGCTGGTGCACATCCACCAGACTGGCACGTGAGTCCATGGGCAGCACCAGGTCCTGCTCCATGCCTTTCTGGTACTCAGCCACTGCTGCTGCCACTGCCGCGGTGTTCTCGGTCCTTGCCAGTGCCATCACTGTGCTTTCCACACAAGGCACTTCACCTTTCACAATGGTAGCCACATATTTCTCCACCAGGGAAGCCAGCACTGTGGGAGACACCATCACTGAAACACATCACACCCACACACATCCCCCATGTGCCACACCATCCTCATGCCACCGCCACTCACTGGTGCCTGTCACCTGGCGTCCGCCTGGCAACTCCTTCACCGGTGACTTCTCCCAGATATGCTGGCAGAAGGCATCTGCCTGTTGCCGGAAGCGTGGCTGCAGTTCATCCTCTTGCATCTCCTCCAGTCGTGCCAGGTTTGCATCAGCCGTTGGTCTCTCCAGCACAAACAGCTTGCGGTGTGTGAAGAAGGCACGCAGGCAGCGCCGCATCTCATTGTGTTCCTGCACCACGCGCCCATTCCCTGCATTGCTAACATCAGCATGGTGCCACCACCCATAGGGACATATGGTGACACATGGTGATGGCCGTACCGGGCTTTAAGCGCAGTGCATCCTCCAGGTACTCATCCTCAGTCATCAGACGCTCACCCTCCCGCAGCTGCAGTGTGAAGTCACGCACAGCCCAGATGAAGCTGGGGAAAACACGGCTGAACTCAGCTGCTGGATCTTCATCCTCCACCCGCACACGTATGTGATTTGTCAGCTCTGTCACCAGCCTGCAGGACCCATGTCAGTGTTATCACCATGTGAGCGCTGTCACCACCATGGGAATACATCACTGTGTCACTACCCTCCTGCTCATCCCCATACCGGAGCTGATCCAGTGCCTGCTGGTTGATGGTGCCCATGCTGTTGTACACCAGGGTACTGGAGAACAGCAGTGCCAGTGAGAAGATCCAGGCATCATTGCTGTTGTCACCCTGCACACACAGTTGGGTTTAGGAGGGTCCAGGAGGCTGTGAGAGGGCCTGGGGCTGCTTTCCCCTGGCACCCACCTTCTGGGGATCTCCCAGCCCCTCGGTGTCCAGCAGCACCAGTGCCACACCATGCCGGCGTGGATGTGGCAGGCACCACATCCAGATGCCCTTGGTCTCCGCCCACACTGTGGGGCCCAACGGGAAACCTGTGGGCAACGAACCATCAGAAATCCCCAAAACACCCCCAAACATGCCCCATGTGGATGTGGTTCCCCTGCGCCAGCTCACCAGTACGCCGCTCTGCCAGCCGGTTCATCAAGAAGGACTTGCCAGTGCGGTAGGGCCCGGCGATGGCCACCACCACCACGGGCTGGGTGATACCACGTAGCACTGCCAGTGCTCTGGGGTTGAGTGACAGTTTGTTGCTGTCACTGTTATAAACCAGGCAAAGTGGAGCTGGCATCGGGGACAGTGGGTGGGGGGATGGTGCCTCCACCCAGGCCGTATCCTCCTGTTGTTGAGTGGTGTCACCATCAGTGTTATCATGCCATGGGGAGCTGCTGGCCTGGGAGATGTCATCGTGTTGTGGGATGGTGTCACTGGTGTCACTGTTCCTCAGGAAAGTGTCATCTTGCCAAAAGTTGGTGGCCGTGGGCCACTTGTCACCAGTTTCCTGTGTAGGGACAGCACAGTGTGGAAACACAAGACAACATGGTGTCAGGACATGGGAACATGGAGACAATGTGGTGTGGGGACATGGGGACACCATGGTGTCTCTGTGCCCCCATCTACCTGCTGTGCCATCTCCTTGGCCTCCTGGCAGAGCCGCCCAATCCGCAGCACTGCATCCTCTTGCATTGCATCCACCACTCGCTCTGCCAGCGCTGCCAGGTCTGGGAACATGGCATCCTTAGAGGGGGTCCTGCAGCATCACCCCCATCAACCCTCAGAACCCCCACTCACAGGCACCGCCCACCTCTGCCCCTCCAGGCTCTGTTTTGGGATCACAGCCCAGCAGGTGGGTGCAGAGCTGGGTTAGGCCCTCAAGACTGCTGTCAGCCACACGGAACAGCTTCTGCTCAGGGAACAGCGTCAAGATACAGCGCGCCACGGGGCCTGTAGGGACAGAGAGACAGTTGGGTGACATAGGGACAGGAGTGGAAGAGGTGGCTGTGAGGATCGAGGGATGCAGAGACATGGGGGCTGGGGACATGGCAACTGGGGACACAGTGCACCTGGGGGGCTGGCCAGTGCTGGCTCCAGGTTGTGGTCCTCAGCCTCCAACAACTCCTCATCCTCAGGGGCCTGGGCTGTGCTGCACAGGCTCCAGACGAAGGGTGGCAGCACAAAGCGCAGCAGATGGTCTTCATCTTCTTCATCCTCCTCCTCCTCCATCAGGCGCAGATGGTGTGGCAACTTCTGGGCGTAGCTGCGCAGTGAAGGAAAACAGGAAAAAAACAGGAAAAAAAAAAAAAAAAAAAAAAAAAAGGCCTAAAGGGGGAAAAGGACCACACCCCGAACACAGAGGATACGTGAGGAGCTCGAGCTGTTCCTGTGCGTCACCACTGCCATCACCACTGCCATAAACCAGCACACTGCCCAGCAGCAGCTGCAGCATGAAGAGCCGCAGCCCAGCGCCATCCTGCGAGGGGGGAGGAATTGGGTGGGGGGGGTGAATTGGGGGTCGCTCAGTGGGGCGGGGGATCGGGACCGCCCCACCCCGGACCCCGCTCGTTACCTCCGGTTCCTCGCCCCCAAGGAATCCTCCGGCGTGCAGCAGCAGCAGCTCACGGTCGGGCCAGTCCGGGTGCGGGCATCTCCACATCCACAGCCCAGGGCTGCCGGGGAAGCCTGTAGGGCAACGGGGCGGGGGGAGGAGGGGGGGGGGCGAAGAGAGAGGGAGAGGACGAGGTCAGAGCTCCGCCGGCCCCTCTGCTCCCATTCTCCCCTCCTCCCAGCTTCCACTCCCTTACTGCAGCCCGATCCTGCCAGCTGCTCCATGAGGAACCCGGAGCCCCCGTCGGGCGGCCCCAGCGCCGCCACCACATGCAGTGGAGCGGACAGGGCCCGCAGAGCCTCCAGACCCCCGGGGGAGAGCCGTATGCCCCCCCCCGGCCCGTCCGCAGCCGCCAGCAGCAGCGGCTGCTCCATGGGGTGCTGCAGAGTTTGACAGTTTCTGTTTCGATTCCCGCCTGGCCCCGCCCTATGGGAGTGCTCCTCGCGCCGGGTTCGCTGCTGTTTGGCTTTCCCCATTGGCCACTCCGCAAGCTAAAAGTGAAAGCTTGGCGACTATTGGTTCTCCAAGCTGTCAGAAGGTGGAACACGTGCTGTGATTGGCTGCGGCCACTTCTGGCGGGCTCGCAGCCCCGCGGGTACGGGGTGGTTTGGGAGATATTTTGGGGTCAATTAGGGGCTTTCAGCACTTTGGTGAAGCTGTTCAGTTTTGATTTGGTGCGGGTCAGTGCTTTATTTGGGCTGTCTGTGTGTCTGTTGGTGTATCCATTGCTGTACCGTAAGTGCTATAAAGGGCATCCACAATGGATCAAAATGTTAAGACTGTGGGCAAATGGGGCTCCTCACAAAGCGCAGGCATGGATGGGGCACTGAGTGAAGCTCGGTCATTTCCCACACTGAACCTGTTTCTGATGCAGACTAATGTGAAATAGAACACATTCCAAGAGAAATAGAAGATAAAATCATCATAAAATCATCCAGTGACACACTGGAACAGGTTGCCCAAGGAGGCTGTGGATGCCCCATCCCTGCAGGCATTCAAGGCCAGGCTGGATGTGGCTCTGGGCAGCCTGGGCTGCTGGTTGGTGACCCTGCACACAGCAGGGGGTTGAAAAGAGATGATCTTTGTGGTCCTTTTCAACCCAGCCATTCTACAATTCTATGATCCTCCCCAAATCTGCTGAACTACATTCCCAAGAAAGTTTTAAGAAAGAAAATTGAAGAGAAACAAGTATGAAGGTGTTGGATTGTAGTAATTTGTGCTGATGTGTTGTCTTTTAGATACACCAACGAAGCAAACTGCTGTCAAGACATAAAAACACAGTCTGAAGGAAAGAACCAATACTGTGAAAGATTATATTATATATATTTTCTATGGAAGTGTTATCAGTTGTAACAGCATTGTTAAGCTTGCTAGTGTTCATTGATGGATAGCCCTGCTCTGCAGTTTGTTTATATAACAAAGCTGTGTCTCTGAACTGTGGAGATAAGGAAGTTCTGCTGAGTCTTTGTACCAAGGAAACAGGAGGTCCTGCTTGGAACCAGTCACTGAATATGTAACACACTCTGAGAATCTTTGGCACGTGTCACACAAGAAATGTGTATAAGCTAAAGATCTTTTGTGTCAGCTATGCATGGTAGGAGGATTTACCTGCATGCATCCAGCACTGCTGATAAAGAATGTCTCTAACTTGAGGCTTAGGGAGTTTCCTGATGGATCATCTTATGGTACCAGGTCACAATAAGAATCCAGGTCTCTATCTTGGCTTTGTGACTTCCAAAGATCTGTAACCACACTGCAATAGTTCAGCTGTACAGCACGCTCTCCTGGATGAGCTGCTCTTCTGAAAGAGCTTCCATTCCAGTAAGGTGCATTTGTTGTTATAAAACCCCACACTCCCTCCGTCCAACGACGCTCTCAGCAAGGAGAAAAAGTGATCTTTCTCTTGCTGCTCTTTTGTTCTGATTTGCCAGTGTCAGCCCTGAAGGACTGACAGACAACCAGCCTGTCCCTTGGAGATGCTTTGTTGTGTAAATTTCTGGCCTGATAATTTACACATTGCATTGCCTGAAAGGACCAGCATCTTCTTTGGGTGCTTTTCTGCCCCCCCCAAATAGGTTTATTTTATTTTATTTTTTTGGGAGTGGGGGAACCAATAAAAATGGTAATGACAAAGGGAATCTCTGGGTCATGAGATTTCACTGCACACACGGAATGATGATCCATGGTGGAAGGGGGCATGGCTCAAGCTTCCTGATGGATGCTCGCTCACTCTCTAAGTACAAAGAGCTTTCATCAACAGCAGGCATGAATGTTAACTGCTAAATCAATCCATGCCTTGCACAGGAGCAAACCGCCCGGAGGTGACCCACGATGCTCACCCAGCCTCCCAGTTCTCCCAGTGCTGCTGCTGGACTGGGCTGTGCTGCTCGCCGGGGCCACCGGGAGGCAGCAGCGCCCCGTGGGCCTTGTGGGTGACCCTGGGTGTCAGATCTGCCGTTTGGAAAGGGACCGGTCTTCAGAAACAGCCGCTTTAACAGAGTAGCCTGCAAAATGCCTGGGGCTTACATTGGGTCCTTAAAGTTCCTATGTGGTGCTCCTGGACCGAGCTGCTGTGCTTGGAGCAGGAGCTGCAGGGTCCATCCCTTTCCTCCTAGCTGTCTTATTGCCATTCTCATGCTATGACAGAGGATTTACCTCTCTTTTCTTTCTTATTCCTGCAATGTTGTGTATTTTAGCCTGCGTTCCTGTGATCTGTAAAAGCACAGGAAGGTCTTTTAATGCAAGGCCATCCCCTTGCACTGCACTGCTCCTCCAGCATGCTCAATTTTTTCAAAGTTCTCACGTAACTTTGATCTGCAGTGCAGAAATGAAGGAGCTGATGGAGCATCGTGCTGCAAGGAGCATCGTGCTGCAAGGAGCCTCCTCTCTGCCTGCTGGCCGTGCCAAACTGCAGGATAGGAAGCTGTGTCCCCTGCCTGCCACCCTGCTGGGCCCTGGGAGCTGAGCACACTGAAGCAGATGCAGAGGTTTACATGCTGAAAAGATGAGAAGGGTCTTTTCAACTCTGAATGTTCTTTATTCTTTGCAATGTACTGACACAAGAACGGAAAGTGCCTTTTCCTGAGATGGGCTATTTATAAGCTTGACTTTCCTTGCCTTGAATTCACCCCAGGTCCTTCAGACTGAAGCGAATAAAGCAGATCATGCAGCCCATCTGCTGGGACACCGTGCAGCACCGACAGCTTTTAAAAACTCTTTGGGAATACAATCCTCCAATCTGAAGCAGCCTTAAACACTTTAGCTGTGCAGTTGATGTTGTTCACAGCCCTGAATTGTTGCAGAAGCTTTGCAGGAGAAATCAGGCATCTGTGGCAGTCGTGCCTTTAACAAATGCAACAGTTGTGTTTGCACAAGGGCTCCTCAGGGTGCATGGGCAGGATTCAGCAGTGGTTTCTAACAGTTTCTTTTCAAGCCACTGAACACTGTGCAGCATTTGCTGCATGCACACACTTGGTGTGGCATTTGTCTGCTCTGGGGTGTGTAGCACACAGTCCCCAAGGCTTAGCTTGCTTTGCTTTCCTATCACAGGAGGCAAATAGGCACCTGCAAATCTCACCTCCGTGAGATGCTTTCTGATGATTTCACCAAGTAGGGCAACACTGCCTACCTTTCCCTGTGCCCCTCCAGCAGACCAGCAGCTCTGTGAGGCATTGCTGAGCTCCTCTTTTTCTTCTTCCTCTTCTTTTCATCAGAAACACTGAGGAAGACTGTGTTTAATTATTAAAACTACTGCTCTTTCCCTGACCTGTGTCCCCTTTGCAAACACAGCTTGCTCTTGGCACTGCTCACAGAATGGAGTGGGAAAAGACAAGAAAGCTGATGAACTGAAGTCTCCTCACCCATGCTGTGCTTCACAGGTCATGAATAAGACACAGACTTTTGGAGCAGGCTGCACTTGTAGAATTCCCTGGAAATGTGAACTCAGGGATATTTCTGGCAAATCTGGAAAGGAAATTATCTTCCATCCGGAGGCTGCAGGATGCAACGTGGCCCTCTTTGCACTGAAAGGTCTCAGTGCTTCTGAGCTACACAAACACAACTGAAAATGGGACTTGACTGGCTTGCCAAAACTTCTCTCAGTTTGCTATAATGCCCTGTAACCGTCTTTTGCATTTACAGTTAAAACAGGAAAAGGAGGACTTGGTCCATACCTTGGTGTAGCAATTATGAAGCAACCTAACGGCACTCTGAAACCAGCATCTGAAAGTTATCAGTGTTGTAATGTGCCATAACCTACTACATACTCCAGAAGGGACCTTCATCTTACACATACTGCTGAGAGATGGACCACAGAGTAACCCAGTGCGTTTGATCAGAGACCTGGGGTGCACATACCTTCTTCTCTCCCCCTCCTTCAGCACACTAGCTGAATTAGGAGGCGGGTTGGGATTAGATGCTTGCAAAAGCAGTTGCTTGCAAAGCTATGGCTTAGTCTGTTGGATCTGGAATATCACTTGGATTTGGCAAAGAGCCGCTTTCCCTAATTCCCAGTCATGTAGAAACTCTTGGGAATTCATGCTTCAGTTGGTGAAAGAAAAGTGGAACCATTCCCCATGCACGCTCCACAGCAGCATGTGCATGAGACCACAACCTGCATGCCTGGCTCAGGGCAGAGATGCACAGCACAACACCTCTGTGCTGCTCTTCTTGACTCCTTCCCCATGATTCAGAGAGTACACAAAGCTGCTGACCCAAAAGAGAAAGAAAACATTGAGTCAGCAAGCCAGCAGCTGGTGCTTTCAACCCTTTTTCATGCACATACGTGCTGACCCTTGGCTGGCTCCTGTGGATCCAGATGGACATGAAGATGAGCTATGGCAGGTTCCCTTCTTTGTCCCAAGTCCTGGTTGGAATGGGGATGCTTACTGTATTGCATCAAAGGTGTGTGTCAGCTCCTCTTCCTCACCCTACTCTGTGCTGCGTAGGTCACACCAACACCCGCACTCCAGTGCAGCAGGCACGTGTTTTTTTGTTCTAAATATTTAAGAAGGAGGTCATTTCCTGCAAAACCCCAGTCTCCCCTTTCCAAAGATTTGGCTGTTACAGAAGAAGCCACAGCACCCTCTGCTACAGCCAAAGATCTCCTGTCCCACTGCTCAGGATGTGCAGTATAGGGCTGGAATTGAATATCTTGCCACAGCTATCAACAGAGAATGACATTTGCTGTTTAGTGGGCAACAATTGCACTTTTCTTAACATGCAGAGGTGGTCATCCTCCATCTCCTTGGCTGGTAGTGCTCAAAGGAGAGAGAACCATACCATGCAAAAGTTGCTACAAATGCAATATTATCCTTCGGAGTCTCTGTATACAGGCCAGTGTTTGTGTCAACCAGCAAGCAACTGAAATGGGAGAAACTGGGAAAGAAATGAGGGCAGTGAAGCACT